CATATTTTCTCAGGCATAAGTAATGGACAAAATCAAAAGCTAATTAGAAAGCTGCCAAGAGATTTAATACATGGGCATTGTATCTCTCATACTAGCATGTATTACTGGGGATTTTCAATGTAGTCTCCTTCAGTGGCAGCCCATGAAATTGCCAGAGATTGGTGACTGGTGCTGCTTTGAACAGCTCTGCTAGAGTCTGTGGTCATTTCTTGTGACAATACTGAAGAGACACTTCTTTCGAGATTCTGCCCATTTTCCTTCTCATCCTCTGTGCTTCCAATTGGTAAAAGTGTATGAGGGACAAGCTTGTTGTGTTGAGGCCCAATAATGCCAATCTTGGTTCATGACACAATAGAAAACAACTCTGGTAAGTCTTCTAGGATATAATGTGGGGCACATCCAAGTTTTTAATGGGTAAGTGCTGGCATCAAAAAATGGTGCAAGCTTAACTAGATCTCAACCTTCCCACAGCTTAAATCACATGCAGAATTATTTACTTATTTAATGGTAGAAAATCTTTCAATTTCAAGATCCTTAACTGCAGTCCAAAGTGAACGGGGTATCTGGCAAATCTACTGTTTCATTCTTGGTGCATGTCATGAAACTGCAAAAGCTAATTTTGCTCTCCAAAGAATTCAGGTAAGAGACAAGAGATGGGACAGATCAGAAAAGGGGTCATGTCAGGGCAGAGAACACACAGAATCAGAATTGGGATTCTTTTATGTTTTGTAGGTACACCTATTCCTGAATTTAGGTATCTTTAGAAGGTGTTCAACACACCACACTCTCCATAGCGGTTGCATGGTTTTGGAGAGAAGGTGACTAGCCTCTGAGATAAAATGTCACTGAACATTGAATATGAGGAGAAAGTAAAAATGGGTTCTGCCAATTCTTTAGGCACTGTTTTTCCCCCGCAAGCAGCATAAAAAAAATGGATTAGATATTGATGCAGGTAACCGCTTGACCTGATTCTAATTGAGGGTCTCCTGAAAAAATTATGAATTCTAGTCACATTATTCCAACAGCTTTAAGCTCTTCAAGACTGTGCCATGTATCAAATAGGAGATGCTAACAAAAGACTTGCTGGATCAGACTAAGAAAACTTCCTTGTTGTTTGATGCACATACTGGGGATATCCACATGGTAGACACGATAACTTTTGAAGGACAAGTGTCTGTCTCCACAAGTCTTCTCCAATTTTCCAACCCAACTGTTAACATGGCTGTGCTGATTGAGGGTTAATAAGTGTCATCTGATTCATTGGAAAAGCTTAAAATAGATGGAGACTCTCCTTTAAAAAAGGTAACAGACATAATCCAGCAATTTCTACTACACTCTGTTTTCTCCTAAACCTGTGATGGTGAACCTATGGCATGCATGCCACAGGTGGCGAGTGGAGCCATATTTGCTGGCACGCCAGTTTTTTCCACTTTGATGTGCATGTGCATGCTGGCCAGCTGATTTTCAGCCATCTGGGGGGCTGTTTTTGCCCTCCCCAGCCTCCAGAGGCTTTCCTGAAGCCTGGGGAGGGCGAAAAAAGGCCTCCCCTGGTCCTCCAGAGACTCTCTGGAAGCTGGAAATGGATCATTTCCAAACTTCCAATTGNAAAAAAAGGAATTAAAAGCAAGGATGTAAATGTAGAAAAATACTGAAGCCACCAACGGATCTTGGAGCAAAACAAACAAATAAGCAAACAAATAAATAACAATCTAAGGAATAAAATAAAACAAATAACAAGAGAGCAGTTCAACATTCCCTGATGCGCTGCAGCTCTCATGACTCTTACCCCTTGGTCCCAGCACATATAGAAAGTATCAGAATAAGAGGTGGGTTGCTAATTTTTTTACTACTGGGTATGTTCCTGCGCACACGAGCGATGCTTCTGCGCATGCGGGTGGGTGAAGCCTCCCGCTGCCACTACTACTGGTTTGCTCAATCCAGGCCGAACCAGCAGCAACTCACCTCTGATCAGTATGTGGGCATGAGCTTCTTCATTGCCAACATCTTCCTTTGGTCAACTCATCTGTTACCTTTTGGGTTACTCCTGGTCCAAGTTCTGATGACATTCTATGCTGAGTCCTTTATTCAGAATGTGGCAGTGGTGGGATTCAGCCGGTTCACACCACTTCGGGAGATATTAAGTTTCTGAGCAGTTTGGGGAACTGGTTGTTGGAAGAAATAATTAGGGCAGAGAACCGGTTGTTAAATTATTTGAATCCCACTACTGTGGATCTTTTTCCATCTCCGTTTCTGCCCTTTTGTGGAAAATATGGCACTATAGAAATAGGGCATCAGTGGTTCAAGCAACAAATCTATCTAAAGCAATCTCTTGAGTAACCCTTGGGACAATTCCAAGCAGATGTACACAGCAACTGCTAACCCTGTTTACATCTTTTTTCCTTTGGTTTGGCTTGCCAATTCTGGTCTTTTTCAAATTGGAAATTACAAGGTGCTTCAAGGCCACCTGTTAGCTTTGCAGAAACAGAGGTGCTGGCTTTGTCAGGAGCAGAGAAACGGTGCTCCAATGAGCCAGCAAGTCATTTCCTCTACTGTCAAAAGGAAAGTGCGTGCGTGCAAGGAAGCCATTTTGAAGGAATGATTTGACAGCTGGAATGGTGCCTGCTCCTTTACTCATGTGGTGACCATCTGTTCTTGCCTCTTTCCACCAATCACAGTTTTTTTTTAAATGCAGCTCTCCAAAACAAGTCTGGTGCATTGCTTGTGTGAGAGACACAATGTTTTTTTTAAATCTTTTTTTGGACATGTATGGAATTGAGCTTCTCTATGTAAAGCGCCAGCAATGGGCCACATTTTCCCCCTCCAAACCAACTTTGCAAATCATTTTTCTGGCTAGATATATAGTGAGAACTTTTTTTAAAAAAAATATTCTTTATGAAAAGGTTTTTTTTATAAACAGAGGAGGAATTGTACATTCAAGATTTTTCCCCAGTTTAAATTGCTTTATTAGTCATAAATAATTTGTATATGAGTAGAAATGCCTTCAAATTACAAATATTTAAAGTTAGTTTACATTCCCAGCATTTTTTTGGCTGAATACGTATAGCAGTTAAACTGGTACAAACCAAACAAGTGTTTATAGTATTTGTCATCATCATGAGGTTGGTTCATTTATTATTTTGGGCAGCACTGTGACATTTAATAGTTTTAAACTGGCCATATTTTCTCAGGCATAAGTAATGGACAAAATCAAAAGCTAATTAGAAAGCTGCCAAGAGATTCAATAC